AGGCAGCAGTTATAAGGTGTCTCAGGAATAGGGTGACCAGGCACTCGATCAACCAGCAGCTTCTGCTTCTCCTTAGTGTTCTCCCCACCTTACTAGGAGGGTAAGCGTGTGAGCAAGAGCAATGGCCACAGCCCACCCTCTCTGCCAGGTAGCCTCTGAAACACACATCATCTAACGACACATTTTATTATCCTCACACCTGTAGTGTGAGGAAACCGATAGGAGGAAACTGGAGCACAGAGATAATGTGAAGCAACTCAAGATTATACCAGTAGTAAATGGAGGTGGGACCTGAATTCAGGCAGAAGTTGCAAAGCCTATACTATTGCCTCAAGTCACTTATTTGGAATTTGGCTTTTCCTAACCTTCAAATATCCTAAAGATGGCATAGAGGGACCAGTAGTTAGCGTAATGGCTATGTTGCTGGATTTCCACCACAGTTCGAGTCCTGGACCCAGTGGCTTAAAACTCATGCCGGGCGCATGTGCATGCATACCCAAGATCCCAAGAGGAGAATGGAGAAGGGATTGCAGCGTGGCCATCCCCCTGGGGGATGATTTCTCACTTTCTGTCTCTCTCTGCCTTTCTGGCACACGCACGCGCTCGCACCCTATAGCAAAAAACCTCTAAAAAAGGAAAAAGGAAAAAAAAAAAAGATGGCTTAGAGTCAGCAATCACAAAAGAACAAAATCAGTGTCATGTAATCAATGCAGAGTATCTTTTCAATCTTTCAATAATCTTAAATATAACTTCAAGTTTCATTATCTTTCCCAGTTCCCATTACATTAAAAGTACCAATCTGAAGAGCACAGTGCCTGCACCAAGGGCAGTCAGCCATAGGAGTAATAGCAAAATAGCTGAAGGCAGGCACCAGAATCAAAGAAACAAAAACCCAGCAGGTACTGGCATTTAGTACTTTTTAAAAAGAATTATGGGACCAGCAGTTAGCGTAATGGCTATGTGGCTGGACTCCCATGTAGTCAATCGTGGTTCGAGTCCCAGACCCGATGGCTTAAACTCATGCCGGGCGCAAACCCAATATCCTGAGAGGAGAATGGAGAAGGGCTTGCGGTGTGGCCATTCCCCCTGGGGGGTGATTTCTTGCTTTCTGTCTCTCTGTCTTCTGGTGAGCGCACACGCCCTATAACAAACCCCTCCCAAAAAAAAAAAAAAAAGACTTACTTAGATAATTTCATTTATTTTTTTCTTCAAATCTTTTTTCTAAAGATCACTTTATTTAACTTTATTTGTTTACTCATTTTAATTTGACCAGAGAGAGACAAGCAAGAGAGAGAGAAAGAGAAAGTGAGAGAGCGAGCTGCCAGGTCCAGTCCTCAAACCGTGGTCAGCCATGTGGGAGTCCAGTGCCTTTAACCACCATGCCACCTGCTGGCCCCTATAATTTCATTTATTATTGTTCACTTTACTATAGGGCACACATGCTCACCAAAGAGACAGAGACAGAGACAGAGACAGAGAGAGAGAGAGAGAGAAGGCCTCCAGGACCTGGACTTGAACGCTGGTCAGCCATGTGGGAGTCCAGGGCCTCAACCAGTACACCACTTGCTGGCCCTGGCCATTTAGTATTAGGGTTTAAGTTAGGGATTGACACACTCCAGGACACAGACTAAATTCAACTTGTCCCAGCAGCTAAGAATGGTTTTACATTTTTAGAGAGTTGAGAAACGTGAAGGTCTGTGCACACATGCAAACAAGAACACTAGAGAGAAACTATACATGGCCTGCAAAGCCTTAAAATGTTTACAGAGAAACTATTTACTATAGATAAATACCACCATGTATATCTTAAATGTCCAGGGAACCCTTGATCCATTTAAATATTTACTCTGTACCTACTACGAGCCGTGCTCTATTTCAGGCACTGGACAGATATCAGTGAACAACTGTGTTTATATGCTAACTTAATTAAAGATCCTCCAGCCAGCAGGTGGCATGGAGGTTAAGGTGGCTGAATCCCACATGACTGACACAGTATGTTTTGAGTTCTGAACCCAGAGCCTTAAAATACACACCAGGTACATGTATGTGTGTGCCGAAAATCCTGAGAGGAGAATGGATTGCATCATGGCCACCCCCACCCCCCCAGGGTGATTTCTCACTTTCTCTCTCTCTCTCTCCAGTGGGCACACATGCCCTACAGCAAACTGGAAAAAAAGGGAAGAAATACTCAAGGATCCACTGGCTTGGTGGTTAAGGCAGCTGGATCCCACATGGTCAATTGTATAGTTTGAGTCCTAGACTCTGCGACTTGAAAAAACACACCAGGTGCATGAGCATGCATGCTGGTGTGTCTTTCTGGAAGAGTAAGGTATGGAGGTACACTCCTCTGGTCCTGGCTGTGAGACTGAGGCAGGGGGAGCTCAAGACAGTGAGACCCCATTCTTAAAAAAGTTTTATATACGTATAATTCTGATGAAGTGATGTGGAAAAGATTTAAAGTCTTCCATTTTGAAATGTGGTCCTAACCAAAGCCTTTGAAATAAATAACAGCCAGCCAAAGTGGCACAGCAGTAACGATGCTCCATGATGCTGAAGATGTGCACCCCAAGGTCTCCGTATGCACACTGGATGTGTGTGCACACAGGCTTCCTGTGAGGATTTTGGGGGCCCACATGCACATTTCCGGCTGTTCTTCAAGCTTCTGAGGCCAGAGCTGGGATTTAAATCTCAGTTGGCCATGTGGGAATCTGATTCCCTTAACCAGTGCCAAACAGGCTGGTCTGATACCTGTCTCCTCTTACTCCAGTGGCAGAAATAAACAAGGAAACTGGAAAAAAAAAAAAAAGGGCTAGCCCCTTAGCATACTGGGAGCTGGATCCCCAACGGCCCACCATGGTTCTGGGCCCAGGTGGGCAGGTAGGCACACATCCAAACTCGTGACAGGGAGGAGGAAAAGGAACTGCAGCATGACTACATCCCACCGGGAGTGCTTGCTTTCTCCCTCTCTAGTTAGTGCACAGGCCTTCTGGCAATTAAAAAAAATTAATAGGGGCCAGGTGGTGGCGTGGAGGTCCGGACCCAACTCCACTGACTCTACAGACTCAGACCCAGCAGCTTGAAAATGACACCAGTCATGGGTGCCAGTGTGCACAGAAATCCCAACAGGAGAATGGAGAAGGGACTGCGGTGTAGTCATGTTCCCCAAGTGGTGATTTCTTACATTCTCCTCCTGTCTCTGGAAAGCACAAATGCCTATAGCAAAACCTTAAAAAAACCAACCAATAAACAAAAAAAACACGGGGCCAGCAGATAGTGTAGTGGTTATGTTGCTGAACTCCCACATGGTCAACTGCAGTTTGAGTCCCAGATCCCGGGCCATGAAAATCGCCAGGTGTGTGTGCATGCGTACCCAAGATCCCAGGAGTAAAATGAAGAAGGGATTGCAGCATGGCCATACCCCTGGGGAGTGATTTCTCATTTTCCTTCTCACTGTCTCTCTCTCTCTCCCCCCAAAAGCCCCCCATGAGCGTACACGCCCTAAGGTAAAAACCTCTTAAAAGTTTTTTTTTAATTAATACAGACATGTACATGTGTATTTTTCGCCCAGTGCTCTTAGTCAAGAAATGAAATACCTCGTCATGATTCATAAATGTCAATCACGTCAAAAGATCAGTACTAACTATACCACTCCTTCCTTTCCCATACATAAAAATTGGTTCTAAGTTTCTGAAATGATTTTCTATAAAGAAAAGCACTGTATTTAACAGTTTAGATTTATATTACAGATTTATACCATGCCTCTTTTGTCTTTGAGTACCCCAAACACTTTACAATTCATTTACAAGTATTTAATAAAACAAAAATCCTTTGCCCCTACTAAATAATAGCCTCACCAGCAACGCTTTCCAAACATGAAACTATTATGAAACAAGATACCATGTGCCAAAGTCGTCCTCAGAAAGGTTTCACTCACACTCAAATGGCTTTGATAATTGTACGCGGGTAAAGACGAGTTTCTCCACATGCCACTACCAGTGGCCCTAAGTACACGGTCACGGAAGAACTGAAGTCAGAACAGGCTGGGTGGACCCCAACGATGTTATTCCAGTCCACCCTACATACCTAAAAACAAAGCTGGCTTCCTGATCCAAAGGATGGGAACACCAAGAGAAACCAAAACATCCCGTAATAAAAACTCTTGTGACGACTTCCCAGCTTAAGAGCATACGGAGTTTCCTGCCTCGCTTCCTAAGTGTCAGGCCCTACAATGGGCAAGCCAAAGTCCCTGCCTGAGAGGCTCAGGACCTGGTGCAGGACGAGAACCACCCCCCAGATCCAAGTGTATTGCAGATTCCAATGCAGACTTGAAGAGCCCAGTGAAGAAAAACTTAATTCTGTCGGGGGGCGGAACTGGGGGTGCAGGGCGGTGTCGGAAAGGGTCGAGGGAGGTGTCGCAGAGGTGACTAGAGCCAGACCGACCCCAGGGAAAGTGGAGAAGAGGAGGGAGGAAGAATCCACCTTTAAAGCTATTGAAGTGGGAAAACGCAGACGCTTCCCCCCATTCTGTTCCACACGCCCCCGCCCCCACGCCCATGACCCGAGACGCCCCCGGCCCTGCCCTCCCGCCGCGGCCCACCGACGTCCCGGCCCGCGGCCCGCACGGAGC